GCGCGAAATTTAAAGATATGGTTATGAAAATGGAAGTATTCCACACAGCATGCACCATGTTGTCCATCACTGGCAAGCGCTTCCAGGATGCTGGCTCGCGAGAACTGTGTGTAGAGTGTGATGTGATAGCAGGGGGTTCTATTGCAGAAGTTCTAAAGCGACTTACTCGTGTATGAAGCCCTTATGAGACTGGCGTGGCAAGGATTCAGGACCTGGATAATGAGAGAATTATAAGCAGTCTAAGTGTATCGTTGTAAGCTTATTTGGTGAGATTGACGATTTGTATTCGACACAAATATTCAGTACTTTTTTTATGTACTGAAATTTTTGCTACCAGCTATATAATAATATTGGTCAAGGCCTTCCCTGCACTTTACCATCCCAAGACAAAGAAAATAGAACTTACCATAACGTATTGCCCGAATATCTCAGCGCTAACCCTAACCTTAATCCGAGGCCTGCCTAAAACACTCTGCTATACATCGGCGCATGCGCCAAAAGCCAAAAATTGCCAAACGAGCCTCGTTTCGTAAAACGAGCCTCGTTTCGTAAAACGAGTCTCGTTTCGTTAAACGAGTCTCGTTTCTACAAACGAGTCTCGTTTCTTTAAACGAGTCTCGTTTCTATTCACAAACAAACGAGTCTCGCTTTAAATCGTTTATCGAGTGACTTATAAATCGTGACGATAGAAAATGGAGTGGTTTCCCAGAAACTGTGAGTGATCCGAAATATATTATTCAAATGTTTTTTTGCAATCGAGGGAAGTTTTCGAGGATCTTTTTCCCCCCTTGCAACCTAGCTCCAGTTTTCCATTTTCCCCATACTGTTCTCTATGCATTTCCTAACGTGTCGACAAAGAGAATTCGTTTAACAATATTAAGAACTTCTTTACCGGTGCAGTGCTCTACCAACTGAGCTAACAAGCCAACTGGGAGGTGGTCATTATGTTGGTTTGTATTAAACTCGTGAAGTGATGAATCAAGGAATTGAATATATGAAAAACATATATGTGCACTGCGGTAGCGCAAAGGTCATGGGTTCAAATCCCGTTCAGGCCATATTTTCACTACTACGAGCGTGTTTCTGTAATTTCATTCGCTCCGACGAAGGGCTAACGCTCGAAACGTCAGCTTTTGTAATCGTTACGGTGGCCAATTTACCATTTCAACTTTGTTGATATATCCAAATTATTTCGTTACCCCCACCGATGCAGCCCCAAACAGTTTCTTTAGAAACTATCAGCCTTTATTCATCTGTCATTTCCGACCACTCGAACTTGGTTCAAAATAAATCTTGCCTTAAACTTTGCATGTGGATAAGGAAACCATTGTCTATCATCGGAACAAAAGTGGTTTTCCTCAGATTTCAAAAGTTTTTTTATTTTTGAACAATTTTCCGCACATAGGTCGAATCGTGAAATTGACATCATTTGTGTACACAAAATGAGCAATCTTTATTAGGATCGCACGCTGTCAAAAATGATTCAATACGAGAGATATTCTGGAATACAACAGTTTAATACATCAACTTTCCAAGTGTGATCACAAAGGTAGAGTATCTTAATAAATGTAAACACTGTCGTCGCGTCAAATATGCCACTACCTGACTAAGCCGAAAAGTGGTACTTTTTAAATTGCGATTTCTCCGTAATGGGACAAAACTAGATATCAGGAGCTACACACACTCAACAACCGTGCATGAGATCACCACATTCCGTAAAAATATTCATGGCTATTATTGCAGGAAGAAAATAAAGCGAAGAGGAAATGTGAGATTTTTACATACCTGTATGGCGCTGCTTTCGTTAATTTGCAATCGTAATTATCCACGATGAATCACAAAATAATCGCAAATGAACAGCTCAGTGCACTTACTTAGACTGTAGAATGTCTGTAAGTCAGGTTTTATTGTCTGAAGGTCCAAGGATTTCTTTCCGGGTGCGAGTCTGTAGGAATTTAGGGGGGCTCTCCATTCGACCAAAAATTATGGTTTGAAATTCCGGGTATTTCATGTGACGAATGGAACAGTATTTTCCGGTTGGTTGCACCAAGTCGTCCCAGGCCAACATGTTTCAAGTTAGGACAAAATAAACAAATGGGAAAAAAATATGGCAGACTCTGTCTCTTTTACTTGCTTTGGAGTTGTTTGACGACTCTGAAGTTGAATCAAGCGATGTATTAGGCGAGGACGACGATAAAGAATGCGAAAAGTAAACCTTCCCGCTGCAAAATACATGCATTTACTCAACCCAGGTAATGGCGGGAATATTTGCTTTGCAATTAGAAAGTGTGCTCGTCACTTATCACATTCCTTTAAGACGTCACACGTAGCTTATACGTATTTTCGCACTACTTACGAAAGTTTGCTGTGGCCACTCCGATGGAACAATGATGCAATAATGTATTTAAATCATCTGCCGCATAAAAACACGACGAGCACTAATATATTGGGCATGGCAAGCTTCCGCCATGTTTAGTTCGATTCCGGGCTCGGAGAAACTGGGCCCAATAAGGAATGTTTGAATGGAAAGGAGTTTTCCGGTTATTCCGATTTTCCGGAATTTTAGGCCAACCTCGCAAGGTACACCCAAAATTCCGGAATGAAATTCCGGGAATTGTCTGTTCCATTCACTCCCCCACCCAGACTTTCTGGAATTTTGGGTCGAATAGAAAGCGCCCTAGGTCATTCATTCTGAGTGACGATTCAGCGGTACCGGGTATTTGTATTCTAGCACAGTAATCCTGTCCATCTTCCAACTTTAAAGCCATGCTGAGAACAGTATCCCCTAAAATACACAGCTCCATCCGAATTCAAGTTGTACACTGTTCCAAATTTACAGGTCATTTGTAAGAAATCGAGTGACAGTCATCGTCACAATTTTCTCGTGGATAAACAACCCTGTGGCCTCGATTGCATGAGAATCTAGACAGCTGCAGTCCGGGGGGGGGGGAGGCAGTCTTTGGAGACAACCACATTCTGTGACCAGTTCTTCTATCTTTGCAACAAAGTCTTGTTTTCTGTCCTTCGATGAATTCAAATTCTGTCCTTCAAGGATTTCCTTGAGAATTGTATTATTCAGTTTCAGGAGTTTTAGCTCAGTAGCATATTCACAAACATTGAAAGTGTCATAGATAATGGGGTGTTTCAAACCAATGTGCGCATGGATAGAGTTTAGAAGCTCTACTTCATCTTCAAATTCTTTCCATTCAACTGAGCTAAGCAGTTTTCTACCACCACCAATTTGAAGACAAAGAAAGACACATGAAAGCAAGAGGACCGACTGTTTGGCAGTTGTTCAGAATTGTGTGAAGGATGGGCGTTGGTAACAAGTTGAGGGAATGTCCGTTAGCAGAGCATGTAAAGGCCTATCTAACAACAGAGTTTGACTTCAAGATAGCGACTGGTAACAAACTGACTCCAAAAGAAGTTGCAGAAGATATGCTACGTGCAAGAAACGAGGAAGGGAAGAAACTTTTCTCAAGGAAGGAATGGCTAAAAGAAAGCCAGATAGAAAGCCTTCTTCTCCATGCTGGCGTCCACTCCAAAACATTCAACACCCTCAGAAGAAGAGGAGGCAGCAGGAGTTGAATGGAAACAATTTGAAGATGAAGTAGAGCTTCTAAACTCTATCCATCCGCACACTGGTTTGAAACACCCTATTACCTATGACACTTTCAATGTTTGTGAATATGCTACTGAGTTAAAACTCCTGAAACTGAATAATACAATTCTCAAGGAAATTCTTGATCATTATGAGATACCTTACACATCGAAGGACAGAAAACAAGACTTTGCTGTAAAGATAGAAGAACTGGTCACAGAATGTGGTTGTCTCCAATGACTGCCTCCCCCGGCCTGCAGCTGTCTAAATTCTCATGCAATCGAGGCCACAGGGTTGTTTAACAGTCCAAGAGAAAAACGTGACGATGAATGTCACTCGGTTTCTTGCAAATGACCGGCAAATTTGGAACAGTGTACAACTTGAATTCGGATGGAGCTGTGTATTTTAGGGGATATTGTTCTCAGCATGGCTTTAAAGTTGGAAGATGGACAGGATTACAGTGCTAGAATACAAATACCCGGTGCCGCTGAATCGTCACTCAGAATGAATGACCTAAATCCCTACAGACTCGCACCCGGAAAGAAATCCTTGGAATCCTTGGATCTTTGGACAATAAAACCTGACTTACAGACATTCTATAGTCTCCCTGAGTTGTTCATTTGCGATTATTTTGTGATTCATCGTGGATAATTACGAATGCAAATTTCCGAAAGCAGTGCTGTACATGTATGTAAAAATCTCACATTTCCTTTTCGCTTTATTTTTTTCCTGCGATAATAGCCATGGATATTTCTACGGAATATGGTGCTCTCATGCACGGTTGTTAAGTGTGTGCAACTCCTGATATCTAGTTTTGTCCCAGTACGGAGAAATCGCAATTTAAAAAGTACCACTTTTCGGCTTAGTCAGGTAGTGGCATATTTGACGCGACGACAGTGTTTACATTTATTAAGATACTCTACCTTTGTGATCACACTTGGAAAGTTGATGTATTAAACTGTTGTATTCCAGAATATCTCTCGTATTGAATCATTTTTGACAGCGTGCGATCCTAATAAAGATTGCTCATTTTGTGTACACAAATGATGTCAATTTCACGATTCGACCTATGTGCGGAAAATTGACTAAAAATAAAAAAACTTTTAGAATCCGAGGGAAACCACTATTGTTCTGATGATAGACAATGGTTTCCTTGTCCACATACAAAATTTAAGGCAAGATTTATTTTTGAACGAATTTCGAGTGGTCGGAAATTACAGAGACACGCTCTTAAGTAGTGTTCGTTACTCATACTTCAAGAATCGCCGTCATACAGTGCCTAAAAAACCGCAGTGCGCAGAGACACTTGTTTGAGTTTTCACCGTTTTATTTTTTCAACAGGAAGAATGATTAATGTTGTAATTCTTAGAAGTTTCATTGTTTTAACCTAAACTCGTAGGTTCGTCCACTGTTCAGTTGCGTGATCCAGAAGTTCGACTTTTAGAGCGAAATTACGCCATCAAGAACGAGAACAGGTTGGTGCTTACGTGCAAAGCACGTGAATTTGTCTCTTGTCTTGATTTTGCCACGTGACATTTTAAGAGAGCTTGTGAAGTTTTCCTCTGATTTGACTTAGCTCTTTGTTTTTAGTTCTCAGAATTCTTCATATTACATTCCATTCAGCCCCAATTTACCGCCCCAACTTATAACTCTTGAGATCAAGTAAGTACTGAACGTAACAAACAAAATCTTTCAAGTTGTAGTGTCTTTCAAGCTTAGTCAGCTCCATCTGCTTGAGGTGCACAGTGACAAACCTATGGTATACCAAACCAAATTGGTTTTGGAATAAGAGAAAAAATGGGCCTCTGGGGATATTTTTCGTGTGGTTCTATAATGACCTACCAATTTTGTAACAGAGTCTGATTCGTTGCTGTTACGTTGTTCACAGCTCCTCTGAAACTTCGTTGGTGTTGTTGTGTAACATGGATTGCAATCAAACAGATGGCTGCAAAGATAGCACGAATCCCCCAATACTTGATACTGAAAAGAATCAGGTAAGATGGCTACTTATTCACAAGTTCACACAAAAATTTGTTGTATTTTCCTTTTTAGGTTCCGCTAGCATTTTGCAAGGTTTTACTCACTGTTCCTATAGAGTCTTGTGCACTCCTGGGACCAGTTATTTGTTAGGTGGTTTGTGCTGCTCCAGTATTAAATTTGGACTTGTTATGCCAGTTTTCTTTTCATGTTTGAAAGAATATACTGAGGATGACTTTTCGAGGGGCTTTATCTTACGCTAAGCCAGTAGAACACATGTAATTTTTTTGCGTTTTTAGGCGAATAGAGGCAAACGCGAATCGAACGCGAATCGTCAGTTTCCCGCGAGGGAAGGGCGCGTTATGTACTCGCCTCGCACTTGCCTCCGTTCGACTGAAAAACGCAAAAACCTACGTCTGTTGTGCAGCCCACGTTACTCTAGGGCCAAACCAAGAGAAACAAATATTTCAACACATTTTTTGTCTTTTGTTGAAAGAAACAGTCGAAGAGTAAATTGTTTGCCTTAGAATTCCGACCCTTCGACCCAAGGTCTAACTTGATGCTCGTCAAATCTCCTTTCCCGCAGTGGAAGTTAAGGAAAATTTCGACCTCTGTCTGCCTATAATTTGACATCATTGTCCACTGTTATTTGCTTCCATAGAACACATGGACAACGAGTCACAGATGGAAGCTTCCTTTTGCTTACTATTGCCAGAGTACGTTTCATTTTCGTCTGGTGAAAACGCAAAATGCCAATGTTAATTGTAGCACAGTACTCCTGCCAAGTGGTGCACCATTTCAGGACTACCATTTCCATTTTATAAGCAAGTGCAGTAGTTAATGTAACCAGTAGTTAATGGTAAGCAGTTACGTTGCTTAAATCTGCCATTTTCGTTGAATGCCTACATGCTATTTTATTATTTTACCGTTCGGGTATCAAGTTTATTTGTAGGTTGGGGTCGCTTGGTGTGGTACAGTGTTGTTGCATAAACTGTTTTTTGTTTATTTAATGTTACTTTATCACTTTGTCAGTAGCACGATTATTAGGTTTTTCTGTTGGTTTGGGTCGCTTGATATGATGCAACTTTCTAATAGCAGCATTATTTCTGTATGAAAACAATCCCTTTAACCGTGAAATAACCCTAAAGGGCTTGAAGGGTCAGTTTTTCAAACAAAATATAACTTCAAACACGGTTTTTAAAGAATCTATGAATGTAGAAATTTACCTTTAAAAGTATATTGTTCAAAGTAAATGAATATTTTTTTCCGTTTTTAGCTTTAAACCTTTTTAAGCTTGCTAGTCACAAATGAAAACAACTTTTGAGTCCGTGTATGCCGAAACTCTGCTGTGTGGGCATTCAAATGAAAGCTTTGTGTGGTAGTTCTAGAGGCTCCGCTGTTTTTGGTGCTTAAGAATAATTTCTTGAAAAGTCTTCGTAGATAGGTGTATAGTTTGGTACCCCTGTAATGTGTACAAAAAACAACCGGTTTTTGAACTTCGGGATGTGTTTTTCATAATCGGCAAAAGAAACAAATAAGTCGGCTAAACTAGATTATTTTCTTACATATCACACTCTAAAATTTCGATAATTTTTCTTAATTCGAAAGACAATTGAACCTAAATGAGTGGTCAGCAATTGTTGTTAGACACTGTGATAAATCTTGGATATATATCTCCCTCTGTGAAGTTGTATATATTTTTGACGCGACCTTTCAGTCAGAGGCACTATGCATTTTAGCAAACTCTTTCGATTCGCATGATTTGTTTCAAATCTGCATTTATATGTGTTAGTGTTTTATTGTATAACCATACATTGGTGTCACTTTTTCTATGATCGGCTAAAAGCACGGAGGTTTTTCCAGCTGGCACCGTGTTCGTTACGCCATTCGTACAGACAAATGATTTTACACGTGTAATAGTGACGTCTCACGTTCAGACATAAGTTTTAAAGCGTGGTTTATATAGGACAATTCTCGCTCGCTTCTTAGAGAGGATAATTAAAGCGTTATAGTGTAAGACTTTGGTATCATTTTCCTACCTGTTTACTGAATAGATATTGTAGTCAAACCTTAGAAGTTTCCAAGAAGATTAGTTACATGTATTCAAGGTTACTATATAACCAGGTATTAGGACTATGTATGGATTTGCCCCAAAATCATCGAAACAATTTCCCATCCGGGATTCTCCTATGCAAGATAGAAACCGCTCGCATTTTGCAAGCCTCCTTTGTTAACCTGGCACTTAATCTTGTAGTAACTTACTAGGAAAATTCATTGTTTCAATTTACGATGTTTTTATCCTAGACACAACAGTTTTTCATTCGTATCCCAATATATCATTCGTACAGTAAATTATATAGCAGCAATGTTACGAAATTTATCGAAATTTTATGATTAATCTACGTAACGAAAGAATGGCGGTTTTATTGATTAAGCACAAACCAAGGAGTTCAAAAGCAAACCAAAGGCATTTTGTAAGTCATTGTTGTCAGTCAAATTTAACATATCAAGTGATATCACTGGTGTTTGGTCACCCATTCCCAGAGTTCCTCGCGGCGAGGATATATTTTGTGATAGTTTTTGTCCCATGGAACATCGAACAATTTCTAAAATAACACAACAAGTTAACAAGCATTTGAACTTCGTGGTTCTCATAATTTTATAAACGGCCTGAAAATTTCTATCGTAAAAAATAATTCATCAATTAATCAAAGAAGCATCCATTGCTTGGCCCAGTACCTGCTCGTTTCTATTTTGAGCAAGGGGCCTGATTTAGCTTTGGTGTAGGATTTCATAAAACTGTCTCCAGTTAATGTCTCAAAATTCCACTTTTGTTCAACATGCGTTCATTGCTTTTTCCAAGTGGAATTTTAATGCAATCAAATGGTCCGTCTAAGTGAATATTATGTCGATACACCAGATATATGGTAAATTTTATACGCGTTATAAATTGAGTGGAGAAAAAAATTGAAAGTCAGACATTAACAGTAAATAAATTGCATCAGAAACGTCAATTTGAATTAAGTAACATAGAATTGTACAGAACGAATTTTACAAATAAATTATGATTCATGAATTTTAACAAGATCTCTAGAGTTCATAATTGTGTCCTTAATTGTGGGTTGTAGAATTACGTAAAGCTTTGGAGCGAAATTCATATCTTTATGTTGTTTTGTTCAGACTACTTAATAACTTCAACTTTCGACAACGGTTTCAATCACCCTTTTAATCCAACGAAAAACTACTACCTTCAAGCGAAGAGCACATGTTCTTATATCCCATAATACTAACGCAACAAAATGTCCTCAGTAGGGTGGTCCCATCACAAGTCCAGTCTCACTTGGGGGCGTGATATCTTTCCCACTGCGGGTTCGGACCCGAACAAGTGTCGGGAAGACAGCGATTGAACGTTGGGCATGCACCTATTTCCCGCGAAAAATTTCAGACTATAAACTTAGATTCAACTGCTGTCACGCAAACGTTCTTAGAAGTCTGTAAAAGGAAACAAAGGTAGGGAAAATGAAAATTCGATACGTTTCGAGTACAAAGCTTATTTTGAATTAAGATTACGGCTGTCCTGTTGATTTATCATTTTTTCCTCGGCTTTTATCAAAAAAGTTGAATAGTCTTTAAACGCTGTGACTCACGACCTTGTGTAATTGTTTATAAGTCCTGTAAGACAATTTGTTTCTGACGGCCTCAAAGCCCCTAGCCATCACAAAATAGGCACATGCGCAAACGTTTGACCGCTGTGTTGTTCCAGGGGACAAGTAGAAGAGCAATCGGTCGACAAATCGTAGTCGTGGTTGCCAATGAAACAGTTGCGTCTTCTCAGGTCCATCTTTGCCCGACTTCCGCCGTTTTCTGCTCGCCAGCTTTTTCGCTTGTTTCCGCTGACCCTTGAGCCTGCTTAGGGGGTAGTACTACATGACAGCCCAGTTAGCGTGACTTGACTTCCTAAAGGTGAGGCGCCATGTCATACCGATGAGCGAATATTTGAATATTACTCTACAAGATGAATTGAAACATTAAGGTGAGAGGCCCTTGTTTGGTAAGATTTCCTGACAACCACCTACCTCATTCTCCATACAGTTGTCGGTTAAAGAAAAGAAATGACAAAAACAGATTGCCTTTGGAACCACTGCTTGGCTTGTCAAAAGCATGGAGCTGAGCGAAAATTTTATAGTTTTTTTTCTAATTCTACTCGCTTGAAAAAAAAAAGTTTTTTTTTTTTTTTGCTGCAGTTACTAAACACGGTATTGGTCAGATTACTCACTGGATTATGCATACTGCAAACTGTTCATTGAAGCTAGCACATCCGTGCTCGTTTGCAGTAATTTGACCCTGATAATTTGCATCAAGCTGAAATGGTTCACTGTCATCTGCCTAATTCTGATATTATTTGCCACCCTAGGACAGCTTCTTAGAAGGAACTTCTACTGAGATGGGCTTAACACATTAATCTGTTATTGAAAGCAATGTAAGTTTAAATACATACTGTAGCGGAGGATTTCCAAGAGATTCATTCTGTAAACCCCTTCCCTTGGCAAACTAAAAACCAACAATCAAACATGACGGCTTGCTAAACGATTTCTCAGTGGCTTGTGTTAAACGCCACACGCGTAAAGTTTCCCTAAAAGACGCTTGTGCCGCATACTACCAATATGTCCTTTTAGTTTTTTGTGTTTCCCACGACCAATATGACCGTCAATAAGACGTACCAACCCGTCGAGTACTTAAACATACTTCAGAAACTCAAGAAATGTATTTTCGAAATCTTCCATTTTTCTCGCCCCAAAAACATTCACTCGCAGATTCCGGTCTTAGGTCCTTACTAAGGGCTCTTATACTGGGAACTGGTCAACGAGCCTTTTGAAAATGTGCAAAGAGACCTTTAAGATGAGAGTCTTCCCAGCTTATCTTTTTTTCTTTTAATGATTCATTAGTAGAAGGTGCAGTGGCGGCGTACTGCCTTGAAAAAATGAGGGGTTCATCTCACACCAAGCAAAACGCACATCTTTACTTGAATTTCCTAAAATTCCTCTACAAAGTTCGTTGACACACGCAATGTCCAAAAAGTCCATAATCGATTTGTGACAACGCATTCGGATACGGTAGACTTTCGCGAGTGTCCTTCGCGAAGAAAAATTTCAATAAGCTATTTGAAGCATAACCATCATAAACTAGATATCAGTGGAAAGTTTATGAGATACACTATTCGGCAAAAATTATTTCGTTTTCGCTCGATCTAATCGTAAACTGAATGGGCTGCGACAAACCGCAATGGATGATGTTTTTTTGAGTGAATCAATTACGTATCAAATCTGACCGTAAATATAGAGCTTCTGCACAATTTCAACCCTGAGGAGTTGGTCTTCAAAACCGTGTAGGGATTTTTCTCTATACTTATTGGTTGCTTCGCAATCTATCTGTTAAGTTTGCTAATAAAAATTTTTCCGATACGCATTACATCGGTGGCCATTGTGGGAGATCCATTTTGAAGAACGGTATTCCCCCACTCGGTTTTTAGGTTGGTTTCTTATGAACTACAGCCTCTACAGCCTCTCCAGCCTCTCCAGCCCCTACAGCCTCTACAGCCTCTACAGCCTCTACAGCCTCTACAGCCTCTACAGCCTCTACAGCCTCTCCGGCCTCTTTACTCCGCCGCCTAGGAAAGTGGATACACTGTTAAGAAGTTCTGGCTCCGGTTGTTTGAAGGATGGATAACGCTGTCGACTTGATAAGTTTGTATCCCGTGGATTATGCAGTTCGTTTTTTTTCTTTGGACAGCATTATCTCTCCTTTTGACAACTGCACCTTGATTAATAACACAATTCTCCTTATGCATGGGCAGCTCAAACCAGTCAGTTGTGACTGATGGTGAGCGAATGCCTCTTTCCGGTTTCCTTCCGTGACGCAATTACTGTAGTGACGTACTCTTATGGCACAAGTGTTTTTCTTCGCCGCAGTGATTGCGGATGCTTGACTTTGGTTGGGTGATGAATAATACAAAGAGCAGACCAAGTAAAGCAATGAACTGCAATTTTAAAGAGCGGTTACAAAAAAGAGGCCTGAGGAAATTCAGGCTTCGACGGGTTTCGAAACTTCCTCACAGGTAGTAACTATCTGGGGGGTTACTAAGTTACGTCGGGAGCAGACCGGGGTACTCCAAGATCACAGATCACCTAATAGTAAAACCGTCGAAAATCGGAAAATTAAATAGCGCCTCGAGCTACGGGGTGCCGAAATATTTGCATACCTGTGACAAAATTTGGCATTCATTCTTCTATTCCTGGCATATATAGTTATTAACTCCTTCAAATTCAAAAACAACAGCGACAAAAAAACCAATGAAGAAGCTACCGAAGGAAAAATTCAATGAGATCGGAGAAATGGTCATGAGATTAGAAGTGTTGATTGTAGACCCAAATAGCAATTTCTGCATGATTAGTTTATTGTGGACTTTTTTTCACTATTGCTTAAATAGTGCTTTACTGCGAAGGATCGTGCACATATACATATGGTTTTATTATGTCGCTCGGAACATTAATGTTTATCGGAGCAAAGCAGATGTAGGTCAGAATTCTTAATTTATTGAAAGTTTGCGAAACAAAAATATTGTGTTACGTGCGACTATTTAAAAATTTTTATTTCCTTATCCGTGAATAGAGCTACCAGATGGTGCTTGTAAGTTCAAGTTATTCATGGACCATTTGCGAAGAACACGAAAACAAGGAAGTTATACATTCAAAAAAGAATTACCCGTGTCCTTTACAAACAAGACTGATTTAAAATGCTTTTTACATCTGATTCGGGGTTTCAAACCCTCGTGGTAGCCGCTAAATTGACTATTTTGATTTTAAGTGGGGGCTGTGCCGCTACAATACACCTCGACGCGTGATATTGCACTGTCAGTCAGTTGTCAAATTAATTTTTTTGTTTTTATTATCACTGAACTAACTGGTGCGAATCAGAACAAATTGGATCCATACTGAACTAATGCGAGGAAAGAAAATTTAGGGAGCTCCTGGATAATGGGCAGATACACAATACTTTTAGCTTGATAAAACTTATGTGACATTAATTTTGGCTGGTTGCAAAAATGGCTTATAAATAGACAAACACGTGGGCTGACACAGCTGGTGTATTTGGACGCACCCGAAGATATTCTAAGAACCAGTTGTCGTCATCTATTATGATTAAAGAAATATAAATGTAGCAATTAGCCCCAAAATAAGAAATATCCGTTGTTGTTTAAACAGGGTCAATACAGTACCTTTTACAGATCACCAAAACAGGAAGATCGCATTAAGTTCAGTTGGATCTTTGAAATAATCGTCAGAATTTCCACGAATCTTTGGTTAAGTTGTTCCTCTTCCTTTTTCGCTTATTGGCGGCGTTAGAGGAGGTTTGGGTTACTCACAAAACCACAAACAGTGCGATCGAAGCTTTATGCGGCTGTCTCCGATTTTTAACTGTATTTGGCCCGTACCTATTGGCTTGCTGTTGGCTGCATTAGTGATTATGGCGTGCTTTTTTCGTAAGCGCCTCTTCAGCTGTTTGAAAAGTAAACAAAACAGTGTCGAATCTGGAACGTACCGACGAAACAGCGAGTTCGACAGTAACACTAGTAATCAAGGAGCAATTTCTACCACAACTGTTGTGGAGGAATTTTCTAATGGACTACAAGATCGCCGAATTGAGGACTGGATGCTTCCAAACTCGAATAGCGCCATAAGAATTATTTCCTCTTCCTACGATGGAACACTGGTTCGCGGAAGCACAAATCAAACTACGACAAGCGATCAAGACTCGTATAGTGTGGAAATGCCCCCACCTTCATACAGTTCTTTGTTTTATTGTCCACCGCCTAAATACGAAGATGTCGTGGTGAGTGCACAGTGAGAATTAACAAGCGGTGCAAGAGAATTTTTACCGAGAGCACGAGGAGCTATATTCATCTACAAAAACATTTTACTAGCAAGATATGTATATAGTTTTGTGTCTATCGATCAATGCTTAAATTATTTCAAGAAAATAGTATGGCCTGGTCTTCAGTTTAAAGAGGTTATTTGTAAATTTTTATT